CGCAGCCGCAGCCGGGCCATGCGCGAAGAAGTCGCTCAGCGACAACGAGGACGCGATGATCTGTCGTTTCTCCTCGAAGTTCAGGTAATCCAGACTGTTGCTTCTCTGAGGTCCAGCCACGATCGTCACGGTCTTCGTGGCGTGATGATGATGGTGTTGCTGATGGAGATTGTTCTCCGCCGATAGATTGCTGTTCTTCTCGTTGGCCGGCTCGTTGGGGGCCGGATTGGGCACCAAATAGACTCCGCTGACGCGTATCGACATCGTCGACGGGCGATCCTTGAAACGGCCGCGTTTCTTCCTCCTCCAGGGGCTGAGGATCGCGACCAGACCCGGCAAAGAAGCTACCGGTTGTTGCTGGCCAGCTGGAACATTCTGGTGACGAGTGCCCGGTCGAGAGGTCGGCTCGCGTCGCTTGTTGCTTCGAGGCAGCTCCACGGCTCGGCGTTTAGTGCGTTCACGATCGCCACGAGGAAATTGATCTGTGTGCGCTTCCGACAGCGGCTACCGTGGACGTTCGTCCTCAGGAGCCTCTGATTATAGCTTCGTATTCCTAGGTACAAAAGGTACAAGATGGCAGGATTGTCGTTATAGCTTTGGCAATTTCCCGTGGACCTCGCCGGGAACGGACAGTTCTACGCAGTTATTTCTTTCGGCGCTTATGGCACTACGTCGTCGGCCGATTTCCTGATCGCTGGTCCATACGGTCTTTATTTACGACGGAAATGAGCGTGACCCTTCCGCGCGTTTTTCTCGTGACAATCCACGAGAGCGTAGTCGGTCGACGCTCGACGAATCGTCCTGCGCAATAGGAACGGAGTAAAGTTAACTCTGCCAATGGCATTGGTCGGTTGCCATGAATGGCGCGCATTGTGTCGTTCGGGACAAGCCACCAACGATTACGTCCCCGTCCCACGAAATGTCTCATCACGGTCCACCGACCTCCTCTCTCCCTCTAATTGAGAGCTCTACTTAATCGGACATGTAAGGGCGCGTTTAGAACGTACAGCGTGAGGTCTTGCTTCTTTGTCGTAAACTTCGGACGATTATCGAGAAAACTGTTTGCTCGTAACAAACAGCTCGATGTCAGCGAATCTTTGTCGATTTTATGAGGCTCATAAACAACGCGCTTATAAAGATTTTTGATACGTTCATAAATAAACTGTTTTGAACAAACTTATACGACAACTTTTTATAACTCGGAACTACTCTTTTTATATATGGTAGCTGCAATAATTTTGACGTTAAATCGAAATAATTTTTAAGCAATTATAGCTTGTTTTCCTACGCAAAAAGATAATTATTTCGCAGATAATTATTCCATTTCAAAATTCGTAACAAGAACATGCTACATCTCTCGATGTTCCAATTTTATTTCCAGACTTATTACCATTCTCTGTAACTGAACCACGTCAAATCGAATTGCGTGGAATTGAATCGAAACACGCCAAGCTGAATCGTTTGGAATTGAATCGCGTCGAGTTTAGTCATAGGGGAATTGAATCGCGTCGAATTGAAACACGTCAAAGCGAGTGACATTGAACTAGAATTGAATTACACCGAGTCGAACCACTGCGAGTTACACCGTGTGGTTCGAAACGTATCGAGCCGAATCGATACTATAATTATCGGAGTATTCGTTAAAATCGTGTATCGAATAACCAAGCTCGAATGTTGTGAAAGAGGGGATGAATCGTTCGCTCATTCTGAACGCACCCTAACGAGCACAATACTCCAACGCGACATTCCGATCCGTTATTCAAATCACGATAACTGCGTCAGTGAAAAAGAGCGATGACACCTTTCACAACGCGCAAAATACCCGTTAACGGAAATATACCGCGTACGCGACGAAACGACGCCGCACGAAGCGGAGCGAACCTAACCTAACCTCCGCACTTCAAAATGCGGCGAGACGCAGCGAAGGTCGAGATCGCTCTCGCCGAGCAAAGGAAAAAATATAAACGATGATCGTAGACGAAACGACGGTGTATTAGGGTTACGTAAAACGCAAGCAACCCGAACGATACGTTCCGTGCGCGAGCCGGCTACGAGTAACCTCAAACATCCGGGCACGCAGCCGCCTGCCAAACAACGATCCCTCACACTGACAAGTTTACAGCGCATTCGGAAAGCATTCGTGTTTCATCTATCGGTGAAACGACGCGTAACGTCACGGCTCAAGCATGGTGGCCGGTGAGGAGGCATTTCGTGGGCGCTAAAAGGAACACACCGTACAGAGACGACGTACTCGATTCCTTCGAGGGCAGTGTGGATGGCTGCTTTTCGGCAGGATTCGTAAAGGAAAACCTCGAGTACTCCTCGACGTTTAATATCACAGCGGTGACGATTCACGGCAGGCGTCGCCACTCCTTTTCACGGGACACCTGTGTGTGCCTTGTAACTGCAGGTGAGAGGAGAGCGAGACGGAGAGAGAAAGGACGCAACGATTATAAACACAGAAGCACATAGTACGCTGGTACGCACGGCGGAGATACGTTGAAGAGAGACAGAACAGGCACAACCGTGGCGATGCACCGTGCCACGAACTCCGAACTTAGCACGACAAACGAAGAAGAAGAAAACGGCAACGACGACGACGACGACGCCGACGTCGACGCGAGAGCACGCACACGAAAATTGACACACACGCTCATCGGTGTTCGCGCACACGACAGACAAACGGCGACGACGTCTCCGCGTTGAATGTACGCTCGTAGACGAGCGATACTAGCGTGTACAGCACACGATGCGCGCTACCGATTGCGCGGCAAACGCGACGGACGGATTCGCGACGGAATTTAATTACCACTGTACCGATGTAACGTGTAAAAACAAAACGGAGCCGAGACGAAACGAACAACAACCACGACGATCACCGCGCCACGAAACACGCACCGAGCGAGGCTCGCGAACACT